ATTCTGTTTTTCTGAACCTTCAATTTGGCAGGTCAGAAGCGAAATGCTCAATTTTTTTGCCTTACTAAGCCTCAGTTCCAGTGTTATGCGTTTTTTGTGTCTCACCTTCATTTTATTTTCCTCAGCGCTCCGTATCATTGGGTGACCTGTGGTGTTCTTAAAATATACCAATTGAAGCATTTAAAGTTGCTCATTTATTCCAAGAACAGTACGTTTTTAAAAATGTGATCTGGGTTTTAAAGCTAAATCTTTCTCTGTTTATCTATATATAGCTCAAATTATTTGCTGTTTAGGGCACTTCATATTTAAACGCTGTCGGTTTGTACGTTTTAATTTTGGCAAAAAAGCGGCTTCAAAACGAGAAATTTAACAAATAAAACCTCCATCCCTACTAGGATCAAGTGTGCGTCACTCAAAATTATAAGCTGTATTAGCTTAGAAAATAGAGTTTTTTTGAGACTTCAAAGGTGCAGCAGACCCTCAAACCTTAAAGAACATAACGTTGAAGAAGTGGACTAGTCAGAGTTTGTTTGGCGTTTTAAAGGTGTTTCGGTTAAGAATTAAATCAGCCTTTCCTGCTCGGGAAATTCCTCGCATTTAAATTTTTCAAAAAAAATTTAGAGGTTTTATTCTGTTGTTAACTGCTTTCTGGGATTGTGGTACGGGTTCCAATATAAATTCTTGTAATTTTTCCTAAATTTTTTATTGAATAACCTGACTTAAGATTTCTTGACTTTTGAATTTTCTAGTGCTGTTGGTCAACACAAATCAAAAAAAAAGTTGTTATTAGAAAGTCAGGTCCAGATAATAAAAGAGGTTCTTACTGAGGGGTGGTGTGGTTCAATTCAGATTATGAACGTTTGCGACAAGAAATTAACATGTCGGAAATTTAAAACAGGGGTTAAGTTTATGATTCTCTCCAATCTTAGCAATGAAAAACTGGTGAGAATGGCATTTCTCCACCTACTTAGCATGTCCTGGAGATTTTTTCTTGGAAGCTAAGAACCAGCACGACCACACAGCGGAAAAGTGGAAATTTCATTTTCGCGCCAAAAATAGAAAAATTAGGTTTAAATCGTAAAATGCTATTCTTTGGCGCTACTGCTGTGGAGTGTATCTATCATCAAATCAGAAGTCTATAATTTCCCTTTACTTTTTACTTTTACGAGTTTTCAACCCTTTCCTTTCATTCAAAACATTTTCAGGTTATCTGTTTAATTCCTCGTCGAAGGAGCTATTGTCAAAGTGTCATTCTAATTTTTATCCATTTTCATAACACTGCAGCTCCGATTGCGGTAGGTTTTAACTGTATGCAGCAAATTCGGCTTCAGCCTGGGTCTGCTTTTTCTCGTGGACTATTAATGATACTGCAGCGCCGTTTAAGTCAGACGGTCACGTAAGAGCATGTCTTTTAGGAAAAAAGATGGAAGACTGCAGTCCAGTGATAAGTGGTCTTAAATTCGTGATTGGAGTAGTAGTTTTCACAGCAGCTGGACAAAGTTTTAAATAGAACATGAGTCTTATTTAGGCAAATGTATATCTATCCACAATGTTCCCAATTTTTTGTCACGTTTAATTTATAACTAAGTGCTATTGCACAGAAGCAAAAGACTGTGATTACATAGATATTTTTAACAAGTTATGAAGTAATCATAGGGCGGCGTGGAAATAAGGAGTAATATAGTGTGAAGGTAATTAAAACCTAAATTTTCACGGTTGCTCGTAACAAGGACCGTTGTCACATTGCCACCAGTTACATCACACTTTATTGGCGATACTGCGGTGTTTTAAGTTTGCCCGAGGTGAGCTTACATTTTAGCATTAGGTTTTTAAAAGGGTAGGAGAGAAAAAAAATGCATGGATCTAAATTGCCAGGAAAGGATGAGACTTGGTCAAGGAAGTGATATGAAAAAGTAAAAATAGGTCGTCGATGGGAGAGAGGAATTAGGTTTTGCGGTGGACGTAATTCACTGTAAAAGCTCCATCTTTTGACATTTTCCGAACCGCAGATAAGGCATTAGATGTAGTGAACCGAAACCCAAACTGACATTAAACAGCAAAAAGGTGTGGGTCGGAAGCTAAATATTATCAGTCTTGTGGCCAGGATTTGGTTTTTTTATATAAACCATATTTTTTTTCTTGACTTCTTGAAAAGATTTCAAAAGCTATGTAATTAATGACGCTGTGGTTACATCTTTTTTGGGTTACTGACGATCCTTCTAGTTCAGCACTGCCATAAGTAATTCGTAACTGAATATGGCCGGTAACTTGCAGTTTATATAGCTGACGCAGGTGATGTAAATTTTTTACTTCCGGGTACAGTAACAGATCACTTGGACAAATGATCTAGTGGGTTTGCTCTTTGCTGCCTTTCCGTTTGATTTTTTTGATTTTTTCTGAGTATTGTGTAAGGATTTTCACATTTGAGGCCATTTTTTATTTTAAAATGGTGGAACATGTTTTCTTATTCCTGACCAGAGGAACTGCAGGCGCTTCCAAAATGCTTTCCCACTTTTTGTTGGTTAGAACAATATTTGAATTCCATAAGTTTGAGTCATTATTGACAGTCGTGGGTTTTGATTTGTCCGGTGTTATTTCAATGTATTGCAATGTAATGTTAGAAGGCTGTAGCTTCTATAAACATTCTATTTCAAAAATTTTCAGCTGCTCACCTTTTGGCGAACATTTTCTTGAATGCAAGACTCTACCCACTTGCCAGATATTTAGGGTCATTTTCCTGATGGCCGGCAGGTGAAGGTTGACTTACTGTGTTGATTTATCAGAGCTCTATTTGTATAGAAAAATGCATTCAATAAAAAAAAAAGTGCTTCTTGCACAAAATTCAGTTTTTCAACAGAAATGTAAAAGATATCCTGTATTCAATGAATTCTTTTAGTACTGAACCTTCTTTTTGCGAGTTCATGTAATTTTCTGGGGAAGTACGCCAAATTCTTTTCAGAAATGAATCAGTTACATGATCATTTCTAAAGTCATCACTACGCGATAAGAGATGTTAGCAAATTAGCAAGAAAGTTTAGAGTTATGAGAAGCCGGATTGATTTACTTACGCAAGAGTCGCCACATTCCTTCGCCAGAACCTGTTTTCCTTGTTCTGTTTAAAGGTCCCCACGTTCAAGAAACTCCAGTCCCATTCTGAATGGGCGTTCTCTTCCTTCCATCCTGAAAAAACCACAGGATGTTTCATCCCTATATGAAAAGGGAGGTATATATATCTTGTTTTTTTTTTTTTTTGATTATTTTTTTTTGCTCCTGCGGTCTTTACTGATGTAAAATCACTGCTATTTCATTTATATATTTACCTTAGCGTTTAGTATCGTTTTAATGAACTTAAGGTCATCATATAAATATCACGCCATGTATTTGTGCTTTTTGAAGTTGAATTGGTCCGTTGTACCGTTGATTCGTTATTTACAAATGATAAAGTGAAATTATGGGAAGCAATCGTGGAGAACTCGGTCGAGGATTAAGCACACCGTTTCGCAGTACAATGTATGATTGCTTAATATGGCAAATACGAACTCCTTTTCTGCAAAAAGATTTTTTAAAGGATAATAAAGTGACCTTAGCGGTTAGTATATGAGGTTTATTTCGAGACTTGCGTTTTATTGGAATATTGTTTTCTTTTTTTTTATTTTACTGGAGACGTTTTTTTTTTTAAAACGGCATGAAGGTTTGATTTAGTCGATTTGTGAAGTAAGGTGAACTGTGAGGAGAGAATGGCTGTTTAAAAAAGTGCCATATTTTAAATTCTTATTAAGAGGTACTTTTGAGAGGTTTTTTGAAGCACTTCATCCTTTTCGTTGCATGACAAGCTAAAATTGGTTTTAATTTTCTCAATTTTTCGAACTTTTTTGCCTTTTTTCACTTGTTTTTTAAAGTAAATTTAAGCTTTCAGCCAAAAAAGATTCCACCTATCATTATCCAACAAAAGTCTCACTAGACTGCTGCCGCTTCTTCCGAGTGAACCCCGCCTTGTCTCATCGTTAGACTGCTCAAAGAACCAGTTTAGATACATTGACTGTCTTGCCAAACTAGAGAATTGTGAGGAGGTGTGTTTAAGCTTTCTTTTTTCTTAGTTAACCATTCATTGGCTAGTTAAAGACCAAGTTTCAAAAAATTATTATTGTTTCCCAAATAAGGATTTTTAAATGCAATTTTTTATCAGACGCTAAAGATAATGCAGTATTACTTAGATTAACGCTAGTTACAACAAGATAATAAATTGTTCGTGTTTTGCGGCATTGCACCGGTCACTTAAAGTGTTGGATATTTCTCACAACGAAGTCTCTGAAACGACTCATCTATGTGCGCTGGCACATTTAATAAAACTCAACGCCTCTCACAACTTGATAACAGTGAGCACTGAACTCTTGAACAGCTGTCAAAATTGGCTTTGAACCCTTATTCAGTTGAGTTAAGATCACTTTAGGTGTAATGAAATGGAATTTAGGGTTTACCTGTTATGGAAAAAATGGGACATTTGGTGGAAATAAATCTTGCCTCCAACAAAATTAATTCTTTAGCGATGCTGGGAGGGCTATCCAGCTTATGTAATTTGAAGTCTTTGGTTCTCAGCGATAACAAAATCGAGAGCCTTCAAGACGCAGAAAGACACCTGCCGTCTAAGTTAAGGCATCTGGACCTTTCTGACAATATGGTGGCTGAGCTGTCTGAGGTAAGTAATGTTAGAATTCTGGATTTTTGTTCACTCTAATAAATGCTTCAAGCTCTTAAGTTTATGCAGTTTTTGACCGTAATTTGTCCTTTACATTGTTTAATGCATTCGAGGGGCTACCGTCGTATTTTCCACCTCCCCCCCCCCCCCTTTCCCTGTCTCTCCATAGAACTATTTGTTGCAGGTTTTTGGACTGGCGTTTCTGAGAGAATTGGAAAGTTTAGTTTGGAAGGGTAATCCATGTGTTAGTAACGGCCGAGAGTTCGATTACAGACCATTTGTGTCTTGTTGTTGTGCGCAGTCATTAAATTCGCTTGATGGGAAAGAAATATCAGAAATAGAGATCCTGAAAGGCAAGTGTAAATTCTTTTTTTTTTCCGCTTTCTGACCTGCAATTTTTGTAAGTTGTTTTCTAAAGAATTCAGGGATGCTTGTTATTACTTTTGTGTTAGAGTGTAAGCTATTGTGGCTTAGTACCTTTTCCGATAAGTTCTAAAATTTTTAGACTGCGAATGGACCTAAAAGAATATTTTTTTGCAGAGAAGAATGCTTTTTAGAAACTTGTAGAAAATGCGGAATTTTTAGAATGTGGTACACTTTTATTTTGTAGTTCAATGGAATCTCATCGGAAGACATGACTCAGTTTTCTAAGCTCTAAGCAGCCGGAAGCTACAGTGTTTTGATTTGAAAAGTTTATCTCGAAGAATTCGAATACAGCTCATTGTCGAGTTTCTACGTCAAATATGAATTAATTTTCCTTCGGAGGTTCATGAAAATCTGATTCTTTTAAAATCAGATCCACAAATTGGTCTCGAGATCTAATATATTTTAAGTTGACCAAGAAGTTGGCTTATGATCTTCTTTGCGCCTTATTCAAATATGGTAAAATGAAAATAAACTTGGCTTGCACGTTCATAAACTAGACTGGTGGGTAAAGTGTTGAATTAGGAATCGGGGAGAAGAATATTTACAAGCAAAATAACATCGCAAGAAATTTGGCCTAACAGGTCGATAGGGAGGTAACCTTACATTTTGGTTAGAAATGATTACGTAGCAACTAAGTAACTGGTATGAATTGAGAAAAGTTAGGCACATTGGATCTGATGAAATCTAGCAATGCTGAAACAAAGAGGGGCTGAAGATTTTTTTTGGAACTGTCATTTGCCGAATTCTAGGCTCCTTCGTGGTGGAAGTATTCTTAACGTTGCCAGTTACACCTGACCAACATTTATTAAGAAAGGCTCAAATTTGTGATAGGATCTCTTTATTTAAAGTACAAATTCTGTGTTACAGTCTTTATCTCCTCCGTGACGTTAATTATGTTTTTGTCAATTAGTGTGCCGCTAGTAGCCACAGGGACTGTTTGAGTCCTGTTCAATTTTGCCAGCTTTGTTTAGGTGCTTATTTCATCGTAAGCAATTCACTTAGCCATTGAGGGACGCCCTGTAGTCTAGAACGTGTTACTGGAGTGTGATCTGTTTGTGACTATAGTGTGTAAATTTCTAGGCGAATTGTTATTAACAAAAGGAAAGCTGCGAAAATGTCAGGACCATAAGACGTTATGTGAATACCTGAGTGAAGAATGCCCGCGGAACTCTTCTGAATTCGCCGGCGATGCTGACTTCAAGAAGCGAGTGATGAAAGTAACATTAATTTTTTGTGTCATTCAGATTTCGTTCAAAAAGTACAAGCTACTGAACTTCAGGTTCTTACTAAAAGACGAGAATATTTAAACTTTGTGAACCAGAATGCCCATCTTGAGCCTTCATCTTTCTGCTCGCTACCACCATCACCTTATGCGCAATGGGCCGAAAACGACCCGAATCACACTTCGGTTTCAGAGAACTGTGCAAGTGAAAAAGCCGTTGCGGAAAAGGAGAACTCTTTTTTTGACATAGAGTCGGGGTAGCTGCTTTTTTTCTAAATACGGACGGTCAAAATGATGACTTTTTCAATTCGTTTTTCTTTTGTAAATTATGTTTACTGATTTGCTTATTTTTATATTTTCAGTAGGAGCTCTGATGAATCAATCGTTTCATCAACTACAGTTGTTCTCTCAACCAGCCACGATTTCTCGAGCTCCTTGATGTTAGTTTTTCTTTTTTCTGAGTACCTGTCGTTCTGGTCTTTTGTTGCATGCTGAACTAAAATATATTTTGCTATACACTGACAGAACATATTGATAGTTGATACCGAACTTTAAATTCGGTCTGATTCGGGAGCCTTCCAAGTAAACTCTTTAAACCATCATCTAAGGTCACATCCTTTGAGGAAGTTTTTTGTCTCAGGCATGGCAACTTCAGATTTTAGCGGGAAATTCTTTGACTTTGTTCAGAGAATTTTTGACGGAACTTTTAAACCAATTACATTTCGATGCATCTTTTCTCTTACTGTTGGAGGCTCCTAGTTTTTACTGACTCTAATGTTGGCTCCATTCTTTGTTTGGAGGCTCCTCCTCCACATATATGCTCCAATAGCTAAATAAAAAAAGAACGCAGCTTTGAAAGAGGAACTCAAAAAATGCAATGGGCTAATGAATGGGAAAAAATAGAGAAATCTAGTGCTTTTTTGG